AATCGCCATTCATATATATCTTTCCATTTGAAAAATAATTTGCGAGATTAAACTCCTAAAGATGCAAGTTGCTGGTGTCTTGTGTAGTGTTGATTAGGTGAGATGTCGAGGGTACAAAATTATCAGATCATATCTTAAGAAAATGTATCCTTCTGCCATTAGTGCCAGCCACTCTTCATTTTGTAGGAAATCTGTGGCATTGTACATTCTGTACAGTACTATAGAAAAACCACTGGAATTTTCCAAACAGTTCTTTTGGTGAATGGTGGCAGCTAAGCAAATCAATGATCTCCTAGAGGGACTTTCAAGTTGTAGAAAAGATTGAATGTTCTGAAGTTGTGGCTAAATTTTCAATACATCAGCTACAGAAAATTATTCCTTTGAAATATGAACCAAACATTCAAAACAAATCTGTTATGAGGAAGATAGCAACCATTTTTAAGGGGAACATTTCTGCCACTTTGACTGGAAAGGAAGGTAATTCAAATTCATATAACTACATGGGAGCCATCACAATTTTGTTGATCAAGTCTCTCACTTGGTAGCTTTATCAAATTTTTCTGTTGCTGTTACCACCACAGTGACCAACAGTCACTAGAACTTGCTAGAATGCAACTAATGAAACAACAATTGTCACTTTTGTGTTTCCAAACAATAAACAGTCGACTCTATGAGAAGGCTAAACCCCTGCTTTCAGTTCAAGCTGTTTAGCATGGAGTGTTTAGGCCAAGTACGTGTACACAAAAGTGTTGCACATAACAATGGACAGTTTATAGTCCCCTTAGAAAAGACTAAACTCATCAAATACTGAGGAAATGGTTTCACAGGCAGCACCTAAAAAAACTTAGAGAAGTTAACAAATCCTTTCAAAACCAGGGTGAAATTACTGACTACATACCCATGCCTAAAAGTGCATGGTTGCTTTTCTTTGATTTTCCCTCAGCTTGTTAGAGTTGTATGTAAGGTTTTTTTTTTGCTTGTGCAGTAAATAGAGAGAGCTTTATCAAATTAGACTAAATGGCTTGAAAATCAGGCCTAATGGTTACCATTAGCCAGAGGATGTTTCAATTTTGAACAGAGTTTTGTTTTCTGGTCAAAAAAGGACTATGCAATTAACTCGTTAGACTAGTAAAGATTGAATGTTGTATGGTCCTTCAAGAATACAAAGATTAAGCATGTGCACAAAATCAATTTTGAGAGGTAACAGTATCAGTACATGTGTCCCCAACCAGGAATGTAGGATGCATATTACACTTTCAATATCTAGTCAAGAATCGTGTTCCAACCATCATGGCAACTGAAACTTCCCTACCGATTTGTTTACAGACAATGAGCGACTTTTCCCTGTGTAAACACCAATTGAAACTTGCGATCAGGGTTGATTTTTGGGGATCTCAAAACGAAATTTTAAAAAAATACTTCCTTCTCTAAGTCAGCATTAGAAATATCTGTTAACAGGAAATGACATCTGTAGCTCTTAATAATATAAGGCATCGAGAGTGCAACGACACAAATCTACGAAGTCGAAACGGTGTATACTCAATCTGATACAATAACAGAAGACAAATTGTTAGATTTACACGTTTCAAGCTATAATCTTGCCGAAGAGCCTTCCAGAAGAAATGAAGTCTTCATTTGCTAGATTCCATGGCTTATTCAAGTCGATCTCAACCCGAGGACCAACGGCGAACTATGAACAATCGTCTGAATCGTGCTGTAGCTTCACCAGATGTCTCCGAATAGGAACGCTAAGATAAAAGGCAAACGAAAGATGGCAATACGACGAACAAAAACTATGCCATGACAAATATGATCAGAAACTTTAAGGACACACCTAACGTCACTTAAAGAGAAGAAACGTACCATAAGCCCCACCATACATCGGTAGCCATAGATGCTGACGTTTACCTTCGCAAAGAAAAACTTTCTTCCTAGCGACCTAACAGACTTTCTGGTTACTCATCTTTGAATATAATTGTTCTAGGATTACTGATACGAGAGATACTACTCGAAAAAGGAAGCTGAAAAGCGCCAAAACTTCATCACAGCAACACAAAGCTTCCGTTTCTGACCAGACCACGAAACACAAAGAGAACAGGCTTTCAATTTCGAACCTTGGACTATGAATAAAATCAGAAAACCGCAGTTCATTCACTGCTTACGCGAAAACATTAGATATTCCGCACCGCTCTTAGATGAATTGTAGCACGAACTACTCCAACGAAAGGAAAATGTCGCAAAAATTATGGCCCTGTAAAACGAAATCTACAGCCACCAAGATGGAAACTACAGTAGCACCTTGATGTAGTTAACTTTAAGATGAAAGAACACATTTCCAAACTGTTCACAATTCGTTCCGTATGAAAGCAAGTCACAATACAGAAGATTTTCCTGGCATTATTTTTCGAGACTATTTTTTAGATTTTTTTCAATGATCTCGCTCCTGTGAATCTGAGCTATGACGGTGCTAACTAGCGATGGCCGAACAAGAACACTCGATCACAAAATACAACTAGCTTAACTCCTCTCTCAGTTGAATCGATACAAGATAGTCCAATTGCGACTTCCAAACACAACAACTTATTCTATGGGTGTCATATTTTCCTTACTTGGAAGCGAACTTTGCCATAATGAATACAATATTCTTCGAGAATATTGAAATGCTCTCTTCCAACATCTGCTGAGCACTATAAACACAAATAGCGAAAAAAATTGCCTCCCACATCTCTGCTTCTGGACATAAAATCAAGGGCAGAAAGACGACAGGAGAAGGCATATGACGGTAAAAAAAAAATCGTCGCTTCGCAATAAAATACCGCTTGAATTTTACATTATTGTGCGACAATGCTGAAAACACTGTCAGAGATCGCGTGGCACTCCGCCGCGATAAACTAATGGCGACCTCCACCAAACGACGAGCGAATTTCGCGATCACCAACAACAAAACGCCATTGATAGGGCGCATCCGACTTCAGATATGGGCAAAACCGATGTAAAATTCGCATGTGCTCTTTTTGTTCGTTTAGATCGCTGTTGTACAGCTCTTAGCAGCGTAAATACCACCGTTTTTCGAAAGCGATCATGTCATCGTTTCGTTCGGTGGTTCTCTCTCCCACTCGTCGGTGGGTTGGTTGTTATGGAGTAATAATACAAATACTCACCCTGATCTGGGCTTTGAGTACTTCTGCTTCTTGCCTAAGACTTTCGAGGTCGCCAGCGCCATGGCTCTGGCTTTGCTGCATTCTGAATTGGTTTTTTGTTGAAACTTGCGCCGCCGAAAGTTACAAGGCAAATGGCCACAGTCGAAGGCAAACGCCTGTCGCCTCTTCCAATCCTTCCAAACGCCGCTAATATAACAATAAAACAGCCCCTGGAAACTGCATGAACTGCTTAACCAGTGTGCACAACTCTCTGTCGTCGCAAACTTCGTTTATAACATGTAGGAGAAGCGCTCGCTACAATCGTTGGGAGTGGTTCCCTTTCCGTGGATTGCAAACGAAGGCGGCGACCCTGAAAAGCTGCGGCGTCCCTCCCATATATAAAGCGCGACCGCGATGAGTCATGGACAGCTAGAATCTCATTATTCAAATTTCTTTTCTTTATCTTTTCGTTTTTTTTTTGTGAAAGAAATTGGGAAAATACCATACCCCAAATGCAGCAGTTCTTAAAAAGGAGAATACTAAAACAAATAGTTCATTTAACGATTTTAATTACACAATTTAGATACCTATTGCCGGTAGCAGAAGGAGAAAGCAAGCCTCTGCTGGGACCAGACCAGGGTTATGTGGATTGTTTCAGGAGTCTCATTTCATTTCTATTCTTCTTCTCTTTTATTGTTCCAGTTTTTTTATTTATCGCATTATGAATATAAGTATTTTAGTTAGGCCAAGTTAAATAAAATTAGATCTACAAATATTCCGGCGCTATTTATTAGTTTTTCGCGGTGNATAGCTATTGCCGGTAGCAGAAGGAGAAAACAAGCCTCTGGGACCAGACGAGAGTTATGTGGATTGCTTCGGGAGTCTCATTTCATTTCTATTTTTCTTCTCCTTTATTGTTCCAATTTTTTTTTATCTTTTTTATTTACTTTTTCTTATTTATCGCATTATGAATATAAGTATTTTAGTTAGGCCAAGTTAAATGAAATTAGATCTACAAATATTCTGGCGCTATTTATCAGTTTTTCGCGGTGGCTTTGTCTTTCCCAGAGTGTAAAACTATTAAAACCAGGAAAATTATTTGTAGCGCGAGGGGACAAAGTGAAAGACTTGCAAATCAAGTGTGATGCACGCTGGGACTTGAAAACATGCGTGTTCTAGCGGGAATTTGAAGCAGCTTTGTCTAGGGCTTGCCACAAGTTGCTCGAGATTTCCCAAAAAGTTGCCCGAAATTTCTCAAAAACTTGCTCTAAAGTTGCTCCAAGAAAAGTCAAAAGTTGCTCAAAAGTTGCTAAAAAAAAAGCAAAACCTTTTTTTTTTCTCTCTTCTTTCATTTGGTCTGATGCAAAAATGTGTAATCTGTACAGCAAAAGTAACATTTCTAGGCATTTTTGTGCAATTTTGCGTTGTAACCAGCGTCGTTAAATAAATTTGTTCACAGTACGTATGAGTAAATACTACGCATCAATATCAAATTAAAAAAAATTATGTAAATTTTTAAAAAATTTGAAAAATTTTGAAAAAATTTAAAAAAATTTTAAAAAATTTAAAAAAATTTAAAAAAATCAAAGAAATTCACAAATTGTTTACTGAAACATTGTAAAATATGGAAGCATGGCCAATTAAAGCACTAAAAGCTGCTCCGATATCGAGAGCCGAATGTAAAAATTGCTCAGAATGCAAAAACTTGCTCGAAACAAAAAAAGTTGCTCGAAATAAGAAAAGTTGCCAAAAAGTTGCCGAGCAACTTGTGGCAAGCCCTAACTTTGTCCCTATCCTTGCTTCCTTTAAATGGGGAAGGGCTTTTCTACAAAAAGACTGTTAGCTTACCGTATTTAATCAGACGAGCGGTCAAACAGAAAGGAATGAGCGATGGAGCCCACCAGTCCAACCAAAAAAAGGACTGCTAATGCCAGAGTCTTTTATTTTCGCACTTCACGATATGAAGAAAAAAGTTGCCCGGAGGAAATTAAGATTTGCACTAAATGCTTTGACCAAGTTGTCGAATAGTCCGTGTCATCTGCAAATCGGTGCATGCTAATAAACGAAGCAGAAAATGACCGTTTGGTAAAAAAGACGTTTTATGAATAGGCTGTGGTCTCGATCCTTCGCAACCGTTCGGGTCAAAGTCATGCAAACCTGAAGGCAAGCAAAGCTGCTTCACACGGACATACATTCCTTTTCCATTGTTTGCCATATTTTTACTTGAAGCAATCAGCGCCTAGTTATTATATACGCTGCACCAATCACAGCGTAGCTTGCCGTCTTGGCCAGTCTCTTTCCCGGGAAAACCCTGAGCGCCCTTTGATTGGTTTACATATTTGGTGCGGACCTCAACCTCGTCCTCAGGGCCTTCTCCTCGACGATTTTCAAAAGGGGATGCGGACCTCTGCAAGGAAATGAAAGCGGTATTTCAAGAACACAATGTATGAATGTATGTCAGTTTGAAGCAGCCGCGTGGGGACTGGGAACTCGCGTCACTTCGCCCAGAGGCCCGCCCAGAGCGGCTGCGAAGGAGATCAGATACCCGGCTGTATTCCACTTATGCTAATCTCAGTTATTTTCGGGTTTTCAAGGGTTTTTTCTTCTAGTGGCATTCGACTCTAGACAGCTGTGTTCGAAGGTTTGAGGTGTTAAACTGAAATAAAAGTTATTTATTTGTTGGGCTGGAGGTTGGCCGTGATACTTTTCCAACGATTGGGAGCTAGTTGGAGTGGTATTTTAATTTTAAAAAGAGTTGGACGGGAAAGTGGGTAACAGGTGATAGAAAAACTCCAGAGGGTACTCTGCGCAGTTTGTTTTCTTTCTTCTTTATTTTATTTATTCTGCCTGCTCGAAACTCGAAGACATATCTTTCTAGTGACATAAAACATACGCTTTCTACCCCGTCCTGGAAGTATTTCTCACGTTTCCTCATTCCAGTCAGGCGAGAAAGTGATTAAGTACCGGTATTCCCCCTTACCAGCCTGCAGGTAACGACAAACTAGTCCCCGCTTGTCGCCGATAAAAATGGCAACCCATGTAAAAGCAGGATTACCGTAAACGTCCGAAAGTAACGACCCTGGTTACTTTCGGAATTAGTAGCCTTTGGGGCTCGTTACTTTCGGGGGGTCGTTACTTTCGAGGGGTCGTCTTTTGAGGAGCAAAAAACGTTTTACGAGGTTGGTACGACTGAGCTCTTTTTTATGCTGCTACCACATGGGTGGGCTCTTCAGCCTTCATGCCTAGACCGTGTTGTCAGAGGGGCTTGTCAGTGGACTGGCATGGTCGGCGGGAAAGTCAGTCAGAAACCGAAAACTGTTTCTACTAACTTCATCACGCACTGTATAGAGTTGTCAGTACGTTCAGGTTACTTGATGAAAATTCTACGTTTTTTGTATATATATGTGAACACGGCGCGACATAAACTGACGAAGCAGGAATTGACATTTTACAACGCCGGAAAAGAAAACTACTGAACTTTTGTTTCACTATTTTCGGTCATTTTTGGTGGTGGTGG